ACACTTTGAATACAATTTCATACAAAATGGTTAGATGTATGGTTTTATGTATTTTTATTTCACACTGTTGCTCCCATCACCTACTTTTTACAATGTAGCAGAGATGATGATGGAGATGATGGTGCTATATAAAGCATTAATGATAAGCCAGGCCACTCGTCATTTCCTCAGTTACTGATCATTTCATTAAATACAGGCGCCTAGATCCTCTTACATGCATCATATAATATTTTAATTAGATTTGATCTATAAATCCTAATTCCCTCTGGCAATATTTAGCACTGGCCTGTGAAGTGTAGGTGAACAGGTCCTATGCATGACTTACAGGGCAAGCTGGAATTTACAAAGGGGAGAGGTCCAGATTTTAGGGCTCCAGGGAGTTAAGATGCTGAAGCGTATGTCAGGGCAAATTAAAAAGAAATAAAAAAATATATATATATATTGAATCAAAAGTCAAAATGTAAAAGTGAGCGCTATTCAGACCAGCAGCTGTACACTCAATGTAACCAGTAAAACCTTAGTACAAAGTAACATAAAATAGTGCAGCGCTTTATAGAAATTATATTCTCAATGAAATAAAATAAATAAATAGTCCCCAAAATTCCAGACCGGTGAAGGTTCCTTATGCTAAATAGAAGAAGTGCCCACTCACCGGAAGTGCACTTGATATAGTGCGGTATATAAAATGCTCCTTGGTGTCACTAGGTATACACATCTGGATCAGCGGGCAGAAGGGCTTCCCTCTCACGATGAATCAGGTCCGGGATCACAGGTATTAATGCTCCGAATCAGAGTTCCCCTTAAGAGATATGTGGGTGTTGCTCTTATGGTGGTAGGAGCCTCCCTCTCTGGATAAACTCGGAGCAACACAATTGGCTCACCCACTGATGATGTGCGTGGCACGTAACGCGTAAGGAGGAGCCTGCTTGCGCCGTTGACGTTACGCCGTCGGAGCATCGTGGAGCTCCGACGGCCATTTCACTTCTGGGACGGTTAGTGCTTGCTCTGCCATTCCCATTGTAAGTTGGATGCATCCTTTTTTATTTAATAAACATCTGCTTAATTATACTACACGATGGGCACCTCTTTGTTTTGACCCCGTGCGGGGAGTATTTTTTCCAGACACTGTGTTGCTCCGAGTTTATCCAGAGAGGGAGGCTCCTATCACCATAAGAGCAACACCCACATATCTCTTAAGGGGAACTCTGATTTGGAGCATTAATACCTGTGATCCCGGACCTGATTGATCGTGAGAGGGAAGCCCTTCTGCCCGCTGATCCAGATGTGTATACCTAGTGACACCAAGGAGCATTTTATATACCGCACTATATCAAGTGCACTTCCGGTGAGTGGGCACTTCTTCTATTTAGCATAAGGAACCTTCACCGGTCTGGAATTCTGGGGACTATTTATTTATTTATTTTATTTCATTGAAAATATAATTTCTATAAAGCGCTGCACTATTTTTATGTTACATACATATATATATTTTTTTTTTTTTTTTTTTTTTTTTTTATTTTAATGTCTGGAAAGCTTCGGCATAGAAAGATTTGTCAGTATGCCTGGACCATCCTAGGACAGCCAGCTTCACTCCATCATTGTGTTCACTGTTCCCCCAGAAAGACTCGTCTCCCGTACAGTTTCAAGACAGGCTATGCATAGATTATCCAGGAAATCAGGTGTTCTATGTGCTGAAAGTTCACAAAAATGACTGCTGTGGGCTGGGAACCATCAAGACCGGGACCCTTCCAGACCGGGACCCTTCCAGACCGGGACCCTTCCAGACCGGGACCCTTCCAGACCGGGACCCTTCCAGACCGGGACCCTTCCAGACCGGGACCCTTCCAGACCGGGACCCTTCCAGACCGGGACCCTTCAAGACCGGGACCCTTTCAGACCGGGACCCTTTCAGACCGGGACCCTTTCAGACCGGGACCCTTTCAGACCGGGACCCTTTCAGACCGGGACCCTTTCAGACCGGGACCCTTTCAGACCGGGACCCTTTCAGACCGGGACCCTTTCAGACCGGGACCCTTCAAGACCGGGACCCTTCAAGACTGGGAACCATCAAGACCAGGATTATCACTGACAGACAGACGGCCATCTTTGAAATGTTTACACCATTCAAATGTCTTACTGTGGCTGAGCGTCTCATCACCGTACTGTGCTTGAAGTCTTCTGTAGATACCCGCAGGTTTTACGCCTTCGTTCCCAAGAGACTTCATCCCCACATGCTGCTCCATGTACGTCCTAACGCTGTTGTTTGCTATCTTTACTAACGGGCTCTGGACTGCCCCGCGACACGTGCGCCGTCTATCGGTAATAGGACACACTTGCCACTTACTACTGCGTGTAGGAACACCACGCTAGCGTCCCTTTTTATACCTGTAAAATTAAAAGTCCTGGTTTGGCTTGAACACACCTCATATATATCCTATTAACCCCCCCGGAGGTATTCCTGCGTGTAGCTCGGGGTAAAGTTTCAGCACCACAAGTGGTAACCCCGAGCTACACTCGGGAATACACTGCAGCGTTGCTCCAGGATCTGTTCTTCACGTACCTTGTCCTGCGCTCCCGCGATGTCCCCCCCTGCAGTGTCCCCAGCAATGTCCTCCAGCTGATGCCGGCATCTGTCTTCTGGGTTCCGTCCCCTGCGACGTCGGGACGTACGGGGGATGGAACTGGCGGGAAATTAAAAAATGTGAAAAAGTGACATTCACTGAATACACTAAAATCACATAGTATAACATTCCTGTATCAAACCATTTCACATACATTTTGTCCCGAGTGCTTTGTCTGGCGCCCTGCCTGCATTTTTACTGTTCTTTCTGCCTGGAAACTGAGAAACGTCCATGGCGTCCAAAAAGCGTCCCTTTCGGTCAAAAGTGGTTTTAGAGCGGCTAGAGAACAGCGATAGTAAATCAGAACCACTTGCAGAATTGAGTGATAATGATTCGTGGGGGAAATTCATCATCAGACACTGAAAACAATTTTGCGACTTTGCTCAGTGATGTGAGAACTTGGCGCTATATTTCAAATTTCAGTGTTTTTGGTTTGATTATATTATTGAATTAAATTTCTTATTATTATATTATTTTTTATGATTATTTATTAAATTATAATTTATGATTTCGTGTTTCAAATTTTATCATCCCCATGATGATTACTAGACTCTTGTTCGGACAGATTTCAGGGAGTTATTCCTAAAAATTACAGGCCTACAATAAAAAAAACTACATATTTCCATGCAAAAAGCTTTGAGCACAGAAATATGGACATAATCAGACTGCTAGGGAGGTTAAGAACCCAGGTTTTTGGGGTTTTTTTTTGCAGTGTGTAGAATCCCCCTGTTAACACTTACCTGAGCCCCATCCAGTGATGGCCACCAGAGCCTCGTCTCTCTGGGGACTGATTCACACATGTGCGGTGCGGATTGAAGCTCAGGTTTCACAGCTGATTGATACAATAGCTGTTCACAGGTTCAGGTCAGGTTTACATCAGGTTCTGGACAGGATTAGCTCAGGATCTTATCCTGTTCACACACATGCAGTTCCCATAGACGTCCATAGCCTGCTGTAATCCGCACCTGAACCTGAAGGCACTGCTCAGAAATCGGACTTGACTCTTTTTAAAACCGCACTGAATCCGCACCGCCAGTGCACCGGACGTATGTGAACTGGCACCATAGGAAGCAATGGTATTTCATATGTCATGCGGATTGGATGCGGTTCAAACCAAACCGCATCCAGTCCACCTATATGTGAACGGGCACTCACTCCTGATTGGCTGAGGCATCAGCAGGCGGAAGGGGTAGTGTGAATGGAGACGCAGAGCCGCGGCTTGCTGTGTGACACCCGACAGGAAGGAGGTGCCAGGAGTGCCGGTGGGGGACGCGAGAAGAGGAGGATCAGGGCTGCTCTGTGCAAATTCTCTGCACACAGCAGGTAAGTATAGTAATGTTTGTTATTTAACCTCTTCACGCCGGCCGAACGCAAATGTGCGGCCTCCCAGCATCTGGGGCTAGACGGCGAGCGGCCGCACATTTGCGTTCTATTAAAAAGGGACATAGGTGCCAATAGCGCGCGCCCTGCATGCTCCCAGCACACATGTCCGGTACTCACGGAAAGGTCCCGATCTCTTCTTTTGATCGGGACCTTTCCCGATCATGTGACCGCGCGGTCACATAACCCTAAACCCGGCCCGCCTCCAGGCTTCTGAAACTCTTAAAGGGCCGGGAGGCGCCGGCGTGAAGGGGTTAAAAAAAGAAACCAAAAAAAACAAGACTTTAGTATCACCTTAACTTACACGCTTACAAACACACATATATGCATCAGTACAAGCTCCCAGATGCAGATTTTTGGATTCTGTATTCCAGATCTGAAAGAAGCTTCTGTTGACCCACCTGTACGAATGGCTCCATTGAAAACCATGCATCAGATCCATCATCACAAAGCACCTGTATATGCGTTTGTTTTTTTTTTCTTTGTTTTATTTTTGTTTACACAGGAACTTTTGTGCTAGAAAAAAAAACACTCCTAATAAGCCATGTAAATGTAGCCAAAAGTTTTTTTTTTTTTTTTTTTTTTTTTTTTATTACTCGTGTGCTATAAACGCTGCGATATAAAGTGTTACTAAACCCAGGACCCTGTGTTAACTATATCCGCTCTCCCCGGACCCTGCGTTCACTATATCTGGTCTCTTCAGACCCTGTATTCACTATATCTTGTCTCCCCAGACCCTGCATTCACTATATCTGGTCTCCCCGAACCCTGCATTCACTATATCCGGTCTCCCCCGGACCCCGCGTTCACTATAACCGGTCTCCCCGGACCCCGCGTTCACTATATCCGCTCTCCCCGGACCCCGCGTTCACTATATCCGCTCTCCCCGGACCCCGCGTTCACTATATCCGCTCTCCCCGGACCCCGCGTTCACTATATCCGCTCTCCCCGGACCCCGCGTTCACTATATCCGCTCTCCCCGGACCCCGCGTTCACTATATCCGCTCTCCCCGGACCCGGCGTTCACTATATCCGCTCTCCCCGGACCCCGCGTTCACTATATCCGCTCTCCCCAGACCCCGCGTTCACTATATCCGCTCTCACCGGACCCCGCATTCACTATATCTGGTATGAATATATACTGGATTTTTTTTTTTTTTTTACAATAATGGCGGCGATCAGCGACTTGTAGCGGGACTGCGGCGGGCATTGTGACACTGGGGGGGAACTGACTTGGTGTCACTAACATCCCCAGTGACACCAGTACAGTGATCAGTGCTAAAAAAAAGCACTGACACTAATGGCACTGGGCAGGAAGGGGTTAACATGAGGGGCGATCAAAGGGTTACCTGTGTGCTGTGTTTTTTACTAAAAAAAACTGCTGTGTTTCACTGTAAGCACACTGCTTCGTATGGCTGTGCGTGATTTTGTGCACCCATGCCGCCCTGTAGCAGTATTTCTGCGGCGCGGAACCTGTTAAGTTCGGTTTGCAAAATGCAGCACGATGTGCAGAATCGGATCACATGGGTGTGAATACGCATGCGATCCGATTCTGGTGCGAACAAAATAAAAGGGCCCTGCACTATTTTGTTGCAGAAGAAAAGATTTGAGTCATACAAAATGTACGGCTCAAATCGCACCGCACAGAAATCGCATGTTTGCACAGGAATGCGGTGCGGTTAGCTGTGCGAATCACATGCGTTGTGCCGCACCGCATCAGTGTTTTTGGTGTTTATCCACCTATAGGCACCACCCATTTAATTGCTGTTTTTGTTCATTTCTTTTCTGCTGCCTGGAATGGGGCTTTCAATGTACTTCTAGGCATCTCTGAGTGCATTTTAAGCAGCAAGTAGTTTAGCGTCTGACAAAATAAAAGGTTTAATAGAAAGAGTGATTGTTCCGTCCCATTGTGCATTCCAGAGCTCATCATCACACGCTTTTCTTGCAGTTTTCCTGAGCGACGAAGATGCGAGTGAGTTTATTGGCCGCAGGCTGCTGTATAACAGCTGGGATTTTGAGCTGGTTACACCGGGCAATCTGGAAAGGGAGTGCTATGAGGAGGTGTGCAACTATGAAGAGGCCCGGGAGTGCTTTGAGGATGACCAGAAAACTGTAAGTGTATGATGACATCTCATGTTTTGTGAAATTAAAGTGAAGATTTCTTGTTTATTTAGTTACCTAAAATAATTATCATGTTGTACTTGCCTGCTGTGTGCTGTGGTTTTGCACAGAGCATCCCTGATCCTCCTCTTCTGGGGTTCCCCAGCGGCGATGCTAGGTCCCCCCCCTCTTCTGAGTGCCCCCATAGGAAGCTGCTTGCAATGGGGGCAATCATGCATGCTCGCTCTTGAGCTGGGCTGTTTGCATCTATTCAGACACACAACCTCAGCTCAGCACCCTCCTTCACCTCCCCCCCCCTCTTCTGAGTGCCCCCATAGAAAGCTGCTTGCTGTGAGGGCACTCATTCTTGCTCGAACCTGAGCTGGGCTGTTTGCATCTATTCAGATACACAACCTCAGCACAGCACCCCCCCCCCTTCTGAGTGCCCCCATAGGAAGTTGCTTGCTATGGGGGCACTGGTGCATGCTCACTCCTGAGCTGGGCTGTTTGCGTCTATTCATACACACAACCTCAGCTCAGCACCCTACCCCCCCCCCCCCCCTTTCCCACTGTCTGCTCTCAGCCTTTGACTGACAGCAGCCAAGCCGATGACATAGGGGAGAGGGGAGAAGAGCTGCTGCAGACCTGCACAGCATTGGATCAAGATCAGGCGCAAGCAAGTATTTGGGGGGGGGGATCTGGGGGATGAGCTACTGCTAACCACTTGACCTCCGAAAGGTTTTACCCTCTTCAGGAGATGGCATTTTTTTGCTATTCAGCACTGTGCTATTTTAGTTGGCAATTGCTCGGTCATTCAACACTGTACTCAAATGAAATTTATATATATATATTTTTTCACATAAATAGAGCTTTCTATTGCTGATATTTAATCACCACTGAGATTTATTTTTTTATAAACAAAAATGACCAGAAATGTAGGAAAACCAATAATGAAAAAAGACCAAAAATCTAGGAAAACTATAACTGAAAAAGACCACAAATTTAGGAAAACAACTGAAAAAGACCAAAAATTAGGAAACCAATAACAGAAAAAGACCACAAATTTAGGAAAACGATAACTGAATAAGACCACAAATTTAGGAAAACAACTGAAAGACTGAAAATTAGAAAAACAACAGAAAAAGATAAAAAAATTTAGGAAAATGATAACAGAAAAAGACCGAAAATTTAGGAAACCGATAACTGAAAGACCAAAAATGTAGGAAAATAACAGAAAAAGGTCAAAAATTTAGGAAAACAATAAGTGAAATTTAGGAAAACAAAAATTTAGGAAAACAATAACTGAAAAAAGACCAAAGATTTTGGAAAAAAAAAAAAACAAAAATCTTATTTCTTCATAAATTTTGGCCAAAATGTATTCTGTTGCATGTCTTCGGTACCGTGGATTAAAAAAATCTAGATACCCCTGTTAAAATGTCAGGTTTCTGTGATGTAAAAAAAATGAGACAAACATAAATCATTTCAGAACTTTTTACACCCTTTTAACCCCCGGGTTCCCACTAATGCGGTGCGGTATATGGCATGTGACTCGCACCGGAACCGCACCGCATTCCTGTGCTAATCACATGCGATTTGTTTGCGGTGCGATTGTAGCCGTACATTTTGTATGTCTCTAATCGCCCGCACCTGCACCAAAAAGGTGCAGGACACTTTTTTTAGTCCGCACTAGAATCGGATCGCATGGGTATTCACACCTATGCGATCCGATTCTGCACATCGCACTGCATTTTGCGGACCGCTTTTGGGGTGTTGTTAACTCAACATACACACCTGTGCAAATCACATGCGATTTGTGTGCCATGCAATTGGAGCCGTATATTTTGTATGGCTCTAATCGCACCCGCACCAAAAAGGTGCAGGACCCTTTTTTGGGTCCGCACTAGAATCAGTTTGCATGGGTAACGGAGTGCGATTCTGATGCGGTGCACCACATCAGTGTGAACCAGGGCTTAATGTGGCGGCACAGTGGCTTAGTGGTTAGCACGTCTTGCAGTAAATGGGTCATGGGTTTGATTCCCAACCATGGCGCCTCCTGCCTGGAGTTTGCATGTTCTCCCTGTGCTTGCGTGGGTTTGCTCCGGGTGCTCCGGTTTCCTCCCACACTCCAAAGACATGCTGGTAGGTTAATTTAGATCCTGTCTAAATTGTCCCTAGTATGTGTATGTATGAATGTGAGTTAGGGACCTTAGATTGTACACCCCTTGAGGGTTAGGGACTGATGTGAATGTACAATATATATGTAAAGCGCTGCGTAAATGAATGGCGCTATATAAGTACCTGAAATAAATGTGACCTATAAACTGTACAACTCACTTGGAAAACAAACTGAATTCTTATGGGGGGGGGGGGAGTAAAAAATAAAAAATATAAAATAACTGTGGTCTCCAATTCTCCACCCAAGCGGAGACACAGAGGGTTCTAATCTTTCCCTCCTCCAGGCAACCTAAAATATCGATCTAAAATAAAAAAATACAAAGACGTTGTTGCAAGCGCTGCGATTGCAGACATGTTTGTGCAGCTGCTTGTTCCAGGGCTATTGTCCTCGGTTTACTTTTTTCAATTCTTGACTTTCCGTGACTTAACCTCCTTAGCGGTTATCCCGAGTGTAGCTCGGGGTAAAATTTCTGTACCAAGAGCGGTAACCCCCCCCCGAGCTACACTCGGGCTTACCATGCGGCGTTGCTCTGGGAGTCCCTGCAGCACTTACCTTGTCCTTCGCTCCCGCGATCTGTCCCCTGCAGCGTCCCCGGCCATCTCCTCCGGCCGATTCCGGCATCCGGCTTCTGTGTTCGGGGCGTACGGGCGGGAAATTTGAAATTTTTAAAAAATGTCATTTTTGCTGTCATTGCTGTTTCAATGCATTTCACATACATTTTGTCCCTACTGCTTTGTCCGGCGCCCTGCCTGCATTTTGACTGTTCTTTCTGCCTGGAAACTGAGAAACGTCCATCGCGTCCAAAAAGCGTCCCTTTACGTCAAAAGCGGTTTTAGAACAGCGATAGTAAATTAGAACCACTTGCATAATTGAGTGATAATGATTCGTGGGGGAAATTCCTCATCAGACACTGAAAGCGATTTTGCGACTTTGCTCAGCGATGTGCGAACTTGGCTCTCTATTTCAAATTTCAGTGTTTTTGGTTTGATTATATTATTGAATTAAATTTATTATTATATTATTATTTTTTGATTATTTATTTAAATTATCATTTATGATTTCGTGTTTCAAATTTTATCATATCCGGAATGTTTACTAGACTCTTGTTCGGACAGATTTCAGTGAGTTATTCCTACAAATTACAGGCCTACAATAAAAAACAACATATTTCCATGCAAAATAATGGTACCGCTTTCAGCACAAAAAATCGGAAAGAATCAGACCGCCGAGGAGGTTAAAACAAGCAGGATAGTACAGTGTTACTCAACCAGGGTGCTGCAAGCAGGGGGCGGACTGACCATTCTGGCACTGCCCGGGGTCATAAGGGGGCCCCATGAGATGCCCCTGGTACCTTTTTTCATAGGCTTTTTTGGGTGTGGTTTGAGTGTGGGCGAGGACACAGGGGCCCCATGATCTCTTATTGCCCAGGGGCCCCATGAGTTGTCAGTCCGCCCCTGGCTGCAAGTATAAACACCTCGGTCACATCGGGCGCGACTTGGCATGCGATTTGCATGCCCTGCGACTTGCAAATTGCATGCCAAGCTGCGCCCTATCGTCCGCAATTACAGCAGTCATATCGCTGCGGTTCTGACTTATATCCGACCGATAAATACAATCTTCATCCCAGATTTTAAAAGGGTAAAATATATGGTCATTTTTATAAAACATTCCAAAATGTGACTATATATCAAGGTTTGCGCTGACTGGCTAAGGACATGACAAAGTTCCTGTAATAGCGCACGGCAAAAAAAAATCACTTGCATCCTTTTATTGAAATGTTGTATATATTTCGAAGCATCCATCAAATTTTTCTTTTATTATGCAATGCATGCTAATGGACTGAAATGTCCCACGTTCACCATTTTTATTTTTTTTTAAATACTGCTAAATGCAGCCTAGATCAATATTAACATTCACAATTTAATGCGCTGACACAAGTGAGACCACTGAATATTCATCACCGGACGGTTTCTTCAGGGAAGAGTGGGAAAATTAATGCGAAATTAGATTTCTGTAATGTGCAAATGATTCTGTCCAGTAATTGAAGGTCAGAGAGAAAAATCCTGAAATCTTGTGAAACAAGCCTTTATGTTCACTCATTCTAGTCACATTAAAGATGGAGATGTGAAGATCCTGTGATTGACGGGTCTGGCAGTCGGGTTGCCATGGAGACATGAGGGGCTGACTGAGCGGGGCTGACTGAGCGGTGCCGGCCATGCTTTGCTGACACTCTGCCAGATGGCTTTCTTACTATCAAAAACCTTTCTGACGGTATCTGAAAGGGGGGGATGGGAAAAGCATTGGGGCAGTATCGTCAAATTAATGGCGGGTATCATGCATTCCATTGTCATATAGTATGTAGATATTTTATATAATTTTTGTCCCACATGAAATATATTTTTTTCTTTTTAAATTAATGGAGGATACCATGCATTTCATGATGATGCCATCAATTTTCATTAGTATACAGATTTTTTTTTTTTTTCATGTAAGTCCCAATTTTGCCACACATGAAATACAATTTCCTTTTTTTTTCTGCCCTCATTTTTTTTTTTAATTTTTTTATTTTTTTTTTTCATGTGTGTATTAAATAAAGACAGGTGTGTGTGTGTATTGTATGTATATGTGTGTGTGTGTGTGTGTGTGTGTCTATATGTGTGTGTATATATATCAATATATCTCTTATATGTATGTATGTATATCTCATATATATATATATATATATATATATATATATCAGGGGTGGACCTAGTATGTGTATGTATGAATGTGAGTTAGGGACCTTGGATTGTACACCCTTGAGGGTTAGGGACTGATGTGAATGTACAATATATATGTAAAGCGCTGTGTAAATTGATGGTGTTATAAGTACCTGAAATAAATACATATATTTGTGTGTGTGTGTATATATATACTTTATATATTATATATATATATATGCGTGTGTGTGTGTGTGTGTTGTATGTATTATATATATATATATGTGTGTGTGTGTGCATATGTATGTATATATATGTATATTATTATTATACGGGATTTTTGTAGCGCCAACAGTTTGCTCAGCGATTTACAATTATAATAGGAGACAATGCAGCAAACAATACAGTTCAATACAAGAGGGATAGGAGGGCACCTGATCCTGGGAGCTTACAATCTAGGAGGTGTGTGTGTGTCTATATGTATATAATTTGTTATTCTTGAATAATCGACATAGGAATTTTTCATAGTGTGTTGTTTTTTTTTTTTTTTTTTTTTTTTAAAATTTACTTAATGCACCCTTTAAATTTGAGCTGGTAAAATAAAAAACATCCCAGCGGGAGGGGCCCTCCTCATCAGTTTGTTGGGTTAAAAATGGTTAATGATTCTGACCTCCTATTATGGTCCCAGCAGTGTTCCCTTGTAGCTTCTGTTGTGATTGTGTGGGTCCACCCATAATGATCCTCTGTTTTTGTTTTGTTTTTTTGTGGGGTTTTTTTCCTCTTTTTTTGCATGCTAGTTATTTTCAATATCAAAAGTGAAGAGGTTACGAAAGTTACACAAATTCTCGTACGACCGAATAAAAGTTTGGATGTAATGTATTTTTTGGAGGAAAACTGTACTGGTTAAATTAAAATTTGTACGATCTTTACTCTTTGAATAATTTGGGAAGATTGCTGTGTGCTAATGTTGAGATTATCGTACGATCACATCTTTGAAATCTGCATTTTTCATACAATTTTATGATCGTGTGGGTTTAAGTGGACATCCAGGCAACAGAATAGAAAATCACTTCTAGATAAATCCATTATGACTGACCTTCCAGTCAGTGCCAGATTTATAATGGGAAAAAGGGGCAACTGCCCTGGGCCCCCCTGACACAAGCCACCCCCCCACCCCTCCATACAAAAATTATATAGAACAATAAAAAAAAGTTAAAAATAAATATAAAATGTATATATAAAAAAGTACTTTGTTTTTAAATGTATTTTGGGAACTAATATTTTGCCTGCCATGATCTGTAAAGGTCTTTACTCTGGAATAGTATTTTATCATTTTTAAAAATGAACTTTGGTGGCTCAGTGTGTCGTGATTGGGTGTGTACACGCATAGCCTCCAGAATAACGTTTTGACGTGTATTTTTTAAAATGTGCGACTGTCAATTAGAATGTAAACCAAATCTGTGTATAAGGGGCCCACTGAACATAAAGTGCCCTGGGGGGCCCTTCCTCCCCCTCAGGTCTAAATTGGTCCTAAGTCCAGTACTTGGAGCTGAGACTTTTGCAGTCTCAAAAAAATAAAATGAAGTAGAACTTTTGTATTTCACACAGAAATTGTTCAGAACATTTTTTGGGGGCAAATTAACTAAACTGTGATGGGAAGAAAAAGAAGGGGGGGGGGTTTTGGACAAAATGAGTAAATCCCCGAGCAGCAGAGAATGTAGAAATTGGAAAGCCAAAGACTTGAAGATTTTCATGGAGCTGGAGTCTCACCATGGGCTGCAACATGACTGGAAGGAGTGAAATGGCGGCTTTCAAAGGAAGTCTCTAGTGAGAAAGTATGGAGGGTGCCATTTTTTTTATTTCAGCGTATGAAAATGCTAGTTCCCTGGTTGCCATGCTCAATGGGCTTCTGTGTATACTGTTTTGTTTTTAGTTGTTTTTTTTACAAAAAGGATTAATTATTCTGATAAACTTTTCATCAGGACTGTTTTGTAAAGGATGGAAAAATAAATCTCTATATTCATATTTCCATCCTTTACAAAACAGTCACTCTCGCTCCCTCTCGCGCTCCCTCTCGCGCTCCCCTCTCGCGCTCCCTCTCGCGCTCCCTCTCGCGCTCCCTCTCGCGGCTCCCTCTCGCGCGCTCTCTCTCTCGCTCTCTCTCTCGCTCTCTCTCTCGGCTCTCTCTCTCGCTCTCTCTCTCGCTCTCTCTCTCGTCTCGCTCTCAAAGGAATCTCTCGCTCTCTCTCTCCCTTGCTCTCTCCCTCTCTCCCTCTCTCCCTCTCTCGCTCTCTCTCATTTATTTATATATATATATTTATTTTTTAATTGTACATATCATAGCATCATGAGCCCTCCAAAGAGAAAGTACTTTTCTGATTGCCCTCTAGTGGCTATTTTCCAGAATGCACCCACCATTTTAGTATGGTTGGGCAACTTGCAGTTTTTGCTGCTCTATGAAGGTCATGCTTACACCTCAGTCCTATCACATAAGTAATTTGTGGCAATGCATTGACCTTTAATTCTACAAGACCACAATCTATGTACATGTAGCAGGAATTATCGAAGCAGTAAAGGCAATAAAATACTCCATTGCAGGTAAAGGAGTTGCTGAAAGGCCAATTCTAACCCAAAGCTAATACACGTGTGTGTCCCTACATATATATATGTGTGTATATATATATAGATATTTTATATATATTATATATATATGTGTGTGTGTGTGTGTATGTATATGTGTGCGTGTGTATATATATATGTATGGCATATGTGTGCGTGTATGTTATGTATGTATGTGTATATATATATATATATATATATATATATATATATAATATATATATATATATAATATATATATATTATATATATATATATATATATATAATCACACAGTTTGACACAGCATGTAGGTTTGCAAAGCTCTTGGCTATTCTGGCAGTGAGATCACTGCAGCTGCTTTCCCAGCTCTGCTCCCTTGCTGCATTAACTAGAAGAGGTTCTGTAGGGAAAGAGGTGCAGAGCTGGAAATATCTAGCAGGGAGGCAGGGAGGTCTTCTCACTGGACTTGTTAGTGGATAAAAGCAGCCAATAGGTCATTGAACACACATATGTCCCTATGTTGAAACATCAGGAACTTTTGTCATGATATGCTTTCTTTAAGGTGTCTTGCTACCTTTTGCTATTGGATTCAATGCTGGATTTAGACATGTGTATGCTGAAATTTTCATTTAGTTTCGGATACATTCCTTCATTGAAGAATTTCATTTCATCATATTTATTCTGTATTGATCCGATTCATATTTTTTTGGAATTATTTTGTATCTTTAGCATTCGTTTCGTATATTCTTTGGTCCGGGTGGATTTGAAAAATGTTTTTCAGAAGATTTCTGTATATTTGATATATTAGGCCTCTTGCACACTGTACTGACTTTTGCGCATCAGCATTTCTGGACATCATTTCAGGCATTTGTATTGTGTGTATTTTTGCATGCATTTGTGCACAAAATGCGCACTGACCAAAATGCAAATCTTTCTGGGTTTTTTTTTTTTTTTTTGTTTATTTTACTCAAGATTGCACAGCACGTGTTTCCGCACCTGTGTGTACAGATACATTGTAAAAAATGGTCTGCATTTTAGATCAGTAAAAAAAAAACCCACCGCTATACTAAGCTTTTTCAAGCTGCAGTGTGCAAGAGGCCTTATATATGCGGGTGGATTGAATATTTCAGATGCTAATCCAACCCACCAAGAGAAATAACATGAGATGATTGGACAATATCCATTGACATCATGTGCATCCAAATTAATGAATGCAACAACATTTGAATCCATTTGTCATCCAAATTTTCAAAACCGATTAGAAAATTGAATTCATTTCCCCCTGGGCACGAAGTACTATCACATGGTGTGACGTCACCTGAATGGAAAAAATGCATTTGTTAGCGTGGTGTAAAAAGGACGCCGCTCTAACCGCATGTGGAATCTAGTATGAGGATGGCCGAAGCGACTGACACGCTACGCCCCACTCTCTGTGACCAACCCCTGGTAGGCTGGATGAAACGCGTCGGGGGCGTGGCCGGGCAATGGCTGAGGCCATCCTTGTACAAGTTGCGGTTTGAGCAGTGCCCTTTTTGCACCACACTTACTAGGTTGGATACTATTGTGGACACCACTCCGCCTTCATTCCGGTGAGGTGATCATTCAGCTCCAGTTTGGAGTGGCGCCATCACCAGGGGCGGACTGACAACTCATGGGGCCCCCGGGCAATAAAGGATCATGGGGCCCCTGTGTCCTTCCCAAACTCAAAAAAGCCTATCAAAAAGGGTACCAGGGGCATCTCATGGGGCACCCTACTGACCCCGGGCCCTGCCCGAGTTTCCAAATGGTCAGTCCGCCCCTGGCCATCATGCTACACATATAATTTTAAATTTCTTTTTTTTTTCAGATTTGTGAACATTCGTTACTATATCCATTCAAAGATTTGCATACATCCAAATCTCGAAAATGTAATTTTTGCACATGTCTAGCTGGTTGATAAATTGTGTTGATGGCAATTTAACTGATGTTAGCTTTTCATTACATAGCATGGCCTCAAAAAGAGCACAAGATTCGATTGCACTTTTGCTTGCTCCAGCTTTCATCAATTGGTCCTGTGTTTTCCAATAATAATCCTTTTTAATAGTAATAATTCTGTATATTTCTCTTACAGAAAGACTTTTGGAACAAGTATCAACACAACGGGCAGGGAGGAAACTCTGGTAAGTGATTTTATTTCAAGGTTCAAAAAATTTCATGGCTCACAAATATTCTTTTGCAATGATCACTTTCACGCAGGGTGGATTGATTTAAATCGAGTTGATTTAAGCCACGATTTAAAGCGAGTTGATTGAATTCACGATCTAAAGCGAGTTGATGAATTCACGATCTAAAGCGAGTTGATTGATTTAAAGCGAGTTGATTGAATTCATGATCTAAAGCGAGTTGATTTAAGCCACGATTTAAAGCGAGTTGATTTAAATCACAATCTAAACGAGTTGATTCAAATCACGATTTAAAGCGAGTTGATTTAAATCACGATCTAAATTGAGTTGATTTAAAAATTCACGATTTAAAGCGAGTTGATTTAAACCACGATTTAAAGCGAAGTTTGATTCGAGTTGATTTAAATCACGATTTAAAGCGAGTTGATTTAAACCACGATTTTTAAATCGAGTTGATTCAAACCACGATTTTAAATCGAGTTGATTCAAACCACGATTTTAAATCGAGTTAAATCGAGTTTCAAACCACGATTTTAAATCGAGTTGATTCAAACCACGATTTTAAATCGAGTTGATTCAAACCACGATTTTAAATCGAGTTGATTCAAACCACGATTTTAAATCGAGTTGATTCAAACCACGATTTTAAATCGAGTTGATTCAAACCACGATTTTCAAATCGATTTTTGATTCAAACCACGATTTTAAATCGAGTTGATTCAAACCACGATTTTTAAATCGAGTTGATTCAAACCACGATTTTAAATCGAGTTGATTTAAACCATGATTTAAATCGAGTTGATTTAAGTCACGATCTAAATCGAGCTGATCTAAATCATAATTTTTAAAGAGCAATTGTCAACTCTGTCCCACAGCAGCTCCTCCTCTGACCTGCTGTTGACTCACTTTAATGGGACAACTGGTGATGCGGCAGGGACACAACAAGGTGAGGGACGTGGCGGCAGCAGGTGAGTGGACGCCCGCTTACAGGCGCTGCCATGATGGATCTAAAATGACAGGTGCTCTTTAAATGTATAGGAATCTGACTCATTCTTGCTGGTAGTTAGAATCTTTAATACAGGCGTACTTCGGTTTACAAACGCCTCAGTTAATGTAATTTTCGGTTTACGAATGAAAATCCATTGAAAATAATGCCTCGATTTACAAATTTTTTTCACAATATGAAGCGTTTATAGCGCCGTGCCTTTAAAGTGCACTTTTGTAAAGAGTTTTGAACAGATAAGACTTTTTTTTCTGATTAATTGCATTTACCAATTTTTTTTTTTTTAAAATTATGTCCCTGTACAGTATTTATGCCTTTTAGAGTGCTCTTTATAAAGGGTATTGAACAGATAAGACGTTTGTTTTACTTTTTTCTGACCTCCGGAACGGATTAATTGGTTTTCAATACATTTACGAATTAATTTTTAATCCTGTTCCTGTACAGTATTTATGCCTTTAAAGTGCACTTTATAAAGAGTTTTGAACAGATAAGACTTTTTTTTTTTTTTTTTACTTTTTTTCTGATCCTCCATATCAGATTAATTGGTTTTCAATGCATTCCTATGGGAAACCGCGTTTCGATTTACGAACTTTTCGCAATATGAAACGTCCCGCAGAACTCATTAAATTCAAAAACCGAGGTACGCCTGTATTTGCAAAACCAAATGAAGGTTTCCTTGTTAGAATAATAGTCTGTCAGGTTAGTAAAAAAACAGTGAAATCAGAACCGATTTTAGGTTAATGGGTTAATCACACATAGCTGAAGAACTTCTCAGATTCTTTTATTTCATGTTTTTTCTCCTGGTTACTGTGAAATGGTGTGAATGCAGAGGCAGACTGACCATTAGAGCACTCTGCACTGCCCGAGGGCCCGGGGTCAGTAGGGGGCCCCATGAGATGCACCTGGTACCTTTCATTGGCTTTTTTGGGTGTGGGCAAGGACACAGGGGCCCCATGATCCCCTTTTGCCCGGGGGCCCCATGAGTTGTCAGTCCGCCCCCGTGTGAATGCATCAATGCAGTGCATGTTCTCAGCTGGATTCATTCAATGAGTTTACCAAAAATGTAAATCTTGCAGAATATACAGCCTCATGCGACATAACTAAGCTCCATTTTATGCTGAATAAACTAAATTATGAATGTATCTTAAATAGAAAATGATCCTTAGATAGATTTTTACTTCAAAAGCATTTTATTAAAATTTGATAAAAATCAAAAAAATCTGATTTAAGTAAAAAAAAAAAAATCAGATTTTAAATTTTAACCTCTTCCCATCTGGCCATGTCGATAAAGGGCCAGATGGTAGCACTGTCGATGCATCTATTGCTTGTATGCACTCCCTGGGAACACAGATCGTTGTACGGGACCTCTGTGCGAGGTCCCGATTCATGTGATCACTGATTGGCCAATCAGTGATCACATGAATAGTAATAAACAAGATGTCACTTCCTGACATCATTGCTTACTACTAGTGAAATCTGTGAATGATCACAGAGGTCACATGGTACAGGGCTATTCACAACAGTCTTGTACCATGTGACAAGCTGTGACCAACGTGTAATCATGGCATGCATATATTAACCACTTCCCATCCGGTCCATGTATACAAGACGGTGGCAGTGCAGGGGTGGGTTGCCGTTCATAAACTGCGCCCACCATTTTGGACTGTGAGCACGCGGCACCGAGATCCGGTGCCTGCTGTGTCTGGAGGACACAGCAGAACACCGATCGCTGTACGGGACCTCTGTGTGAGGTCCCGATCATGTGATCACTGATTGGCCAATCAGTGATTACATGAATAGTAGTAAGCAAGATATCACTTCTGACATCATTGCTTACTACTAGTGAAATCTGTGAATGATCACAGAGGTCACATGGTACCGGGCTATCCACAACAGCCTTGTACCATGTGACAAGCTTTAACCAATCACAGCTCTCACAGTATTTCTCAATGGCTGCAGGAATGCAGCCAGAGAGAAGGAGAAATTATTGCTTTTACAGCATTTATTGGGTGTAAAAGCAATTGGTGTAAAAAGAGAAAAAAAAATCTTCATCACCTCCCACAAGTGATATATACAAAATCATGTATATATTCAAGATTTTGCACAGCCATCCTGTAGCAGTACTTCTGCTATGGGGTGGTCAGCAAGTGGTTAAAGAAAACGTAAACCCAACATTTCATACCCCTTATCTCTGCCTGCTGTACCATGTATATCCTGTTCTCTTTGTATTGCTTCCTTTGTGCAAAATCCCTGGTGTTCCTGCCAGTCCCTCTGCTTTCCTGATTAAAAACTGACAACACTAGGCATGGAAGCACAACATGGTCAGTTCTATAGCTATGATGGAAACTCCTGCTCTCCACCAGTCAGTGCTGACACGCCCCTTCCCAACCAACTCCCCCCCCCCCCCCCCCCAGCCATTCACTGGGAAGATCAGTGTAATGTTGTTTCTCCTCCCCCATGCTCTTATGAAGCTGAGAACAGAGGGCGGGAGCATTTTTATATGTACACATAAATGTTTTGCCTTTCATTTCCATTTTAAACTGAACGAGTTGTTTTTACAAGGTGAGGGTTTACATGTACTTTAAAGTAGGGGTCTCCAAACCTCCTACACAAAGAGCCAGTTTACTGTCTTGCAGACTTTTCAGGTGCTGGACTATGGCCATTGTGAGTAGAAAATGCTGTTGCATCAGTGGGAATAAACAATGCTTCATCATTCATATGAGCAGGAGGAATTGTGCGAATTGTTGGTATCCGAGGAAGGATTAGTGCCCCATCTTTGGTGTCAATGAGAGGAATGGTGCCCCATCTTTGGTGTCATTGGAAGGAATGGTGCCCCATCTTTGGTGTCATTGGAAGGAATGGTGCCCCATCTTTGGTGTGTTTGGAAGGAATGGTGCCCCATCTTTGGTGTCTGTGAGAGGAATAGTGCCAATTGTTGATATCAGGGGAAGAAATTGTTCACCATCATTGGTGTCCATGGGAGGAATGGTGTCCCATTGTTGGTATCAGTGGAAGGAATCACTGTATGTCCAAACATTGGTGTCTGCGGGAGGAACAGTGCCAAGTGTCAATTTGTTGATATCAAGGGAAGAGATCGTGCCCTATCATTGGTGTCCATGTGAGGAATGGTGCCCCATTCTTGGTGTTAGTGGAAGAAATATGTCCCATCATTGATGTCTGTGGGGGGAACAGTGCCAATTGTTGGTATAAGGGGAAGATATCGTGCCTCATCATTGGTGTCCATGGGGGAAATAGTGCCCCAATGTTGGTGTCAGTGGAAGGAATTCTGTCCTATCATTGGTGTCTGTCGGAAGAACAATGCCAAATGTTGATATCAGGGGAAGAGATCATGCCCTATCATTGGTGTCCATGTGAGGAATAGTGCCCCATTGTTGGTGTCAGTGGAAGGAACTATGTCCCATCATTGGTGTCCATGGGAGGAATGGTGCCCCGTTGTTTCTGTCAGTGGAAGGAACTATGTTCCATCATTGGTGTCCATGGGAGGAATGGTGCCCCATTGTGTGTGTCAGTGGAAGGAACTATGTTCCATCATTGGTGTCCATGGGAGGATTGGTGCCCCATTGTTGGTGTCAGTGGAAGGAACTATGTCCCATCATTTGTGTCCATGGGAGGAATGGTGCCCCATTGTTGGTGTCAGTAGAAGGAGCTATGTCCCATCATTGGTGTCCATGAAAGGGATGGTGCCCCATTGTTTGTGTCAGTGGAAGGAATTATGTCCCATCATTGGTGTCCATGGGAGGAATGGTGCCCCATTGTTGGTGTCAGTAGAAGGAGCTATGTCCCATCATTGGTGTCCATGGGATGAATCATACCCCATTGTTGGTGTCAGTCTGAGAATAGTGCCTTGTTTTGGGGGAGCAATAGTGCCCCAAGGGCCGGATAAAGGCAGGCAAAGGGCCACAGTTTAGAGACCACTGTTTTAAAGGAAGCCAGTGAAGCCTTCTTGCATATAACACCAAAAAATGCTGCTGCTTGTGTTATCCTCTTAGCATGCTTTCTTCCTACCTGCTTCTAAATACTTCTCTCTAAGCATGTGCTCTATAGAAATCATTACTTTTAGAGCCGCTGGCATTGAATCAGCCAGGCATGGTTAGCGGCATAACATTTATTTTTCCCTATATTTGATCCTATTGAAACCACATCGATTGATATGCTCTGCATTCTTGATGATGTAGAAAGGATTGTGATTCCTTTGTGCTGGGCAGATCTGCTGAAGTGCTCTATTGTGGGCACCATTGAGGTCTGAGATTCACTCTAGTGTCTTCTCCCCCTCTTTCTGCAGGAAACTCTTCGACCATAGATATCGCTGGCCTTGTGGCTGGGCTGGTAGCAGGAGTAATAATTCTTGTGATGATTGGAGTCCTTATTATGTACTGTGTGAGATACAGGGCCAAAGAGAGGACAAGACAAGGGAGGTAAGTGCTGATGGGGTACAGGTGTGAGTCCTGATATGAACAATGGAAAAGAAAAGCAAGCATCTCACAGTATGGTGTTGGGTTGACATTGCATGCCACTTGCAAAGGAAGAAAATACCTTGGAGTAATCTAGTGACCTAGAGACGGCTGTTCTTGGCTCTGTAGCACAGGTGTCAAACACGAGGCCTGCGGGCTGAATCTGGCCATTTCATGTGGCCCTTGCACCTCTCCTGCAGGTACCCCCTTGTTTTCTGCCCTCATTTTTTCTCAACAGTCAACAGCAGAGAGGAGAATAGAACCAAATCCTCCTCATCCCCACACCCCCTCATCTCTGCCTCCCCTGGTCTCAGCATTCAGTAAACTCTGGTAACTGACTCCATTCCTCCTCGGGTCCTCCTCCAGATCCTGCACTTTGTGCTTTCCAGCTCTGCCCCCAAAGGGTGTGCACTGTGATGTTAGGGAGGGTGTGGGATTCTTGACATCTGATGTAATGGGGGGTGGGGTGCTCTGGACACCTAGCCTTACAGATACAACCGGCCCTTTGAGGGCAACGATAATGCTGATATAGCCCACGATGAAATGAAGTTTGACACCCCTGCTCTAAAGACACCCAAGAATAGAGAAAGCCACCAGCCCAAATGAACTGTCCAAAATGGGGCTTTTCCACAATTGTAAAACCTCTTCTATGTAATTATGGCATCTGCTCGTTACCGAGCCTGAACTCCACAAACCGAAACCGCTATTTAATTCATTTTTAATATTCAAGGCAAATTCCCCCATCCCCCCATGTCTCCATGCTTTATCTTGCTGAGAAATCACTTTGAACCCCCCCCCCCTAGTATTTCTAGCTGCGGCCATCTTGAGTAAGGGCAGATGATGATTTAGCAATTCCTGGAATCCATTCGCCCTTAGCTCAGGCATAAAAGCAGGAGGGTGTGCTTAGCTGAGAAAACCCCTCCTGAAGACTCCTGGGATGTATAACATCATTTACCTAGGCCAGAAACCGGGAAGGAACTGAAGAAATATAAAAAATTGTTTAACCACTAGCCTACAGGGCACTTCTACCCCCTTCCTGCCCCCCGGGCACTTCTACCCCCTTCCTGCCTACCGGGCACTTCTACCCCCTTCCTGCCTACCGGGCACTTCTACCCCCTTCCTGCATACAGGGCACTTCTACCCCCTTCCTGCCTACCGGGCACTTCTACCCCCTTCCTGCCTACCGGGCACTTCTACCCCCTTCCTGCCTACCGGGCACTTATACCCCCTTCCTGCCCAGGCCAATTTCCAGCTTTCAGCGCTGTCACACTTTGAATGACAATTGCGCGGTCATGCAACACTGTACCCATATGAATTTTTTTGCATTTTTTTGAGACAGATAAAACTTTATTTTGGTGCTATATTTAAATTTATTTTTTTTATGCTATATAAATGAAATAGTCCAAACATTTAAACAAAGTGTTTTTCTTATAAAATTTTGCAGATAAATAATCTTTTTTCATAAATCTTGGCCAAAATGTATTCAGTTATCTTTTTAGTAAAAAAAAAAAAACCCTATTATTATTATACAGTATTTATATAGCGCCAAAAGGTTTGCTCAGCGCTGTACATTATAGTGGGGGACAGTACATGAGACAATACAGTAACAATACAATACACGAGGGGTTCGAGGGCCCTGCTCTTTCGAGCTTCCAATCTAGTATAATGTACAGCGCTGAGCAAACCTTCTGGCGCTATATAAATACTGTATAATAATAATTTGTTTTTTTACTAAAAAGATAACTGAACACATTTTTAGTTTATAAGCAAAAATTTATAATTTTTCAAAAACCTTTTTTTACATTTTTATTTTATTTTTTAACATACAGTCACCCTATCACCCAACATACTGTCACCCTAGTGTCACTTGGAGACACTGTACTACTTGTGGGGGGTGATGAAGATTTTTTTTTTTTTTTACACTGTTTGCTTTTACACCCATAAAGGCAGTAAAAGCAATCATTTCTCCTTCTCTCTGGCTGCATTCTTGCAGCCATTGAGAAATACTGTGAGAGCTGTGATTGGTAACAGCTTGTCATATGGTACAAGGCTGTTGTGAATAGCCCTGTACCATGTGACCTCTGTGATCATTCACAGATTTCACTAGTAGTAAGCAATGATGTCAGAAGTGATATCTTGCTTACTACTAATCATGTGATCACTGATTGGCCAATCAGTGATCACATGATCGGGACCTCACACAGAGGGTACAATGATTGGTGTTCCACTGTGTCCTCCAGACACAGCCGGCACCGGATCTTGGTGCCGCATGCTCACAGTCCAAAATGGTGGGCGCGGTTTATGAACGGCAACCCGCCCCTGCACTGCCACCGTCTGGTATACATGGACTGGACGGGAAGTGGTTAATATATGCATGCCATGATTACACGTTGGTCTTTATATATGCCTGGAGTTCAGCTTTTTTTAACGATGGACTGAGTTTAATAAGTCTAAACCTTGTTGCCTCTTTTTATCGTTTTATCAGGCCACCAGTGAATCTCACTAGCAATGTACCCCTTGGGGAATCCTTGCCGTTGACACATCTACCTTTACCTGAACCTACAGCCCCAGGACTCCCGTCATATGAAGAGGCTTTAGAAGCATCAGGCACTTACGATGCACCTCCTCCGCCGTATCAGAGGTAATGGCACCTAAAATCCTAATTAATACTCCAATAATTGAATAGATAATCATCATAATAAAGATTATGTCCAACCTTCTCTGGTCAAATATGGAATATGCAGTTCAGTTTTGGGCACCAATTCACAAAAAAGAACATTGGGGAACTGGAGAAAGTACAGAGAAGGGCAACCAAACTGATAAGAGGCATGGAGGAGATCAGCTATGAGGAAAGATTAGAGGAACTGAATTTATTCTCTCTTGAGAAGAGGAGATTAAGGGGGGATATGATCTCCATGTATAATACATAAGGGGGGATATGATCTCCATGTATAATACATAAGGGGGGATATGATCTCCATGTATAATACATAAGGGGGGATATGATCTCCATGTATAATACATAAGGGGGGGGATATGATCTCCATGTATAATACATAAGGGGGGGATATGATCACCATGTATAATACATAGGGGGGATATGATCTCCATGTATAATACATAGGGGGGATATGATCTCCATGTATAATACATAAGGGGGGATATGATCTCCATGTATAATACATAGGGGGGATATGATCTCCATGTATAATACATAGGGGGGATATGATCTCCATGTATAATACATAAGGGGGATATGATCTCCATGTATAATACATAAGGGGGGGGGGTATGATCTCCATGTATAATACATAAGGGGGGATATGATCTCCATGTATAATACATAAGGGGGGATATGATCTCCATGTATAATACATAAGGGGGATATGATCTCCATGTATAATACATAAGGGGGGGATATGATCTCTATGTATAATACATAAGGGGGGGATATGATCTCCATGTATAATACATAAGGGGGATATGATCTCCATGTATAATACATAAGGGGGGGGGGGGGTATGATCTCCATGTATAATACATAAGGGGGGGGGGGGTATGATCTCCATGTATAATACATAAGGGGGGGGATATGATCTCCATGTATAATACATAAGGGGGGGATATGATCTCCATGTATAATACATAAGGGGGATATGATCTCCATGTATAATACATAAGGGGGGGGGGGTATGATCTCCATGTATAATACATAAGGGGGGGGGGTATGATCTCCATGTATAATACATAAGGGGGGGGATATGATCTCCATGTATAATACATAAGGGGGGATATGATCTCCATGTATAATACATAAGGGGGGATATGATCTCCATGTATAATACATAAGGGGGGGATATGATCTCCATGTATAATACATAAGGGGGGATATGATCTCCATGTATAATACATAAGGGGGGATATGATCTCCATGTATAATACATAAGGGGCGATATGATCTCCATGTATAATACATAAGGGGGGGATATGATCTCCATGTATAATACATAAGGGGGGGTATGATCTCCATGTATAATACATAAGAGGGGGTATGATCTCCATGTAGAATACATAAGGGGGGATATGATCTCCATGTAGAATACATAAGGGGGGATATGATCTCCATGTAGAATACATAAGGGGGGATATGATCTCCATGTATAATACATAAGGGGGGGATATGATCTCCATGTATAATACATAAGGGGGGGATATGATCTCCATGTATAATACATAAGGGGGGGATATGATCTCCATGTATAATACATAAGGGGGGGATATGATCTCCATGTATAATACATAAGGGGGATATGATCTCCATGTATAATACATAAGGGGGGGGGTATGATCTCCATGTATAATACATAAGGGGGGGGGGGGTTATGATCTCCATGTATAATACATAAGGGGGGATATGATCTCCATGTATAATACATAAGGGGGGGATATGATCTCCATGTATAATACATAAGGGGGGGGGGATATGATCTCCATGTATAATACATAAGGGGGGATATGATCTCCATGTATAATACATAAGGGGGGATATGATCTCCATGTATAATACATAAGGGGGGATATGATCTCCATGTATAATACATAAGGGGGGGTATGATCTCCATGTATAATACATAAGAGGGGGTATGATCTCCATGTAGAATACATAAGGGGGGATATGATCTCCATGTAGAATACATAAGGGGGGATATGATCTCCATGTAGAATACATAAGGGGGGATATGATCTCCATGTATAATACATAAGGGGGGATATGATCTCCTTGTATAATACATAAGGGGGAGATATGATCTCCATGTATAATACATAAGGGGGATATGATCTCCATGTATAATACATAAGGGGGGATATGATCTCCATGTATAATACATAAGGGGGGATATGATCTCCATGTATAATACATAAGAGGGGGATATGATCTCCATGTATAATTACATCAGTGGTTCATATAGTGATTTTTTTTAACATATAAAAAAGGCATTTTAACATATATTCTTACATCTGTAAATGCCTTCCAAATATGTAGATTTGTATTTTTAAAGACATACAATATATTTGAAATGTATTTTTTTTAATATTTTTCATATATTCTGTAATAAAAATGCAGTTCAACATAATAAATAAATATATATATATATATATATATATATATATATATATATATATATATATATATATATATATATATAAAATTATTTTATTTATTTTTTAATATATTGAATATTGCCAGAATTGTAGCATTTCAAATATATGTCAATATATTTGGGAAGAATATTTTTCAAATACAGTGAGGAACAGAAGTATTTGAACACCCTGCGATTTTGCAAGTTCTCCCACTTAGAAATCATGGAGGGGTCTGAAATTTACATTGTAGGTGCATTCCCAGTCTGAGAGACAGAATTTAAAAATAAAATTCAGGAAATCACATTGTATGATTTTTAAAGAATTTATTTGTCTTGCACTGCTGAACATAAGTATTTGAACACCTAAGAAACAGCAAGATATCTGGCTCTCAAAGACCTGTTACTGTGTCTTTAAAAAGTCCACCTCTACTCCACTCATTAATCTAACTTAGTAGCAGCTGTCTGAGCTCTTTAAAGACACCTGTCCACCCCACAGTCAGTCAGACGCCAACTACTACCATGGGCAAGACTAAAGAGCTGTAAAAGACACCAGAGACAAAATTGTGGACCTCCACAAGGCTGGAAAGGGCTACGGGGCAATTGCCAAGCAGCTTGGTGAAAATAGATCAACTGTTGGAGCAATTGTTTATAAAATGGAAGAGGCTAAAGACGACTGTCAGTCTCCCTCGGACTGGGGCTCCATGCAAGATCTCACCTCGTGGAGTATCACTGATGATAAGAAAGGTGAGGAATCAGCCCAGAACTACAAGGGAGGAGCTGGTCAATGACATGAAGAGAGCTGGGACCACAGTTTCAAAGGTCACTGTCGGGTAGAACACTACGCCATCATGGTTTCAAATCATGCATTGCACGGAAGGTTCCCCTGCTCAAGTCATCACATGTCCAGGCCCGTCTGAAGTTTGCCAATGACCATCTGGATGATCCAGAGGAGGCATGGGAGAATGTCAGGTGGTCAGATGAGACCAAAGTAGAACTTTTTGGTCTAAGCTTTACTCGTTGTGTTTGGAGGAAAAAGAAGGATGAGTTGCATCCATGAACACCATCCCTACTGTGAAGCATGGGGGTGGTAACATCATGCTTTGGGGGTGCTTTTCTGCGAAGGGGACAGGACGACTACACTGCATTAAGAAGAGGATGAATGAGGCCATTTATTGTGAGATTTTGAGCAACAACCTCCTTCCCTCAGTCAGAGCATTGAAGATGGGTCATGGCTGGGTCTTCCAACATGACAACGACCCGAAGCACACAGCCAGGAGAACCAAGGAGTGGCTCCGTAAGAAGCATATCAAGGTTCTGGAGTGGCCTAGCCAGTCTCCACACCTAAATCCAATAGAACATCTTTGGAGGGAGCTGAAACTCTATGTTGCTCAGCGACAGCCCCGAAACCTGACAGATCTAGAAGAGATCTGTGTGGAGGAGGGGGCCAAAATCCCTGTTGCAGTGCAAACCTGGTCAAGAACTACAGGAAAAGTCTGACCTCTGTAATTGCAAAACAAAGGCTTCTGTACCAAATATTAACACGGATCTTCTCAGGTGTTCAAATACTTACGTTCAGCAGTGCAAGACAAATACATTCTTTACAAATCATACAATGGATTTCCTGATTTTCTTTTTTTTTTAATTCTGTCTCTCAGAGTGGGAATGCACCTACAATGTGAATTTCAGACCCCTCCATGATTTCTAAGTGGGGGAGAACTTGCAAAATCGCAGGGTGTTCAAATACTTCTGTTCCTCACTGTATACTTCAAATATATTTTTCTTCCATGTGGGAAGTTACAATGGAGTTACTACAGTAATTTTTTGTGTTGACCGGAGTTTAACTTTAAATATTTTTGTTTATATAACTAGATTATTTTGTGTATGCATGATGTAGACAATGATATGAAATCTAGATCGATCAGCCTTAAACCGAACATGCCCAATGTAATCCTATTACAGTACATACACAATATAATCCAATTATTTTTTAATAACTGGTTTATATTGAGAATGCATAATATAGATCTATAATCTACTGTGTATCCCCCAGCATTAACATCTTGCCATTAGGATTTTTGTATTTTCAATTCCAGTATAGCTCTGCATTCTCTCCTGGTTATACGGAGCCACATGAGCTTTGTCTGTCTTTTTTTTTTTTTTTTTTTTTCTTTTTTTTCTTTTTCATTCGGTTTTACAAAAATCAATCTGCTAGCAGTAGACAGACAGTATAAAAACAATGAGATCTGGGTGCTCTAGGTAGAGTATGGCTCAAATACTTGAATGCAACGTTTCGTTTTTTTAATTGGCATTATAGTTGTGTTTTAATGACTCGAACACCTCAATATGGCCTTTTTGTTCAATGTGGTAATATTTCTTTTTTATATGACTTGTTAACTGGAGGGTTTATTCAAACGTGTCTTTTTTTTTTTTGTTTCTTGCAGTAAAACACATTTATTTTGGTTTTGTTTCTTGAAAATTCATTTCATCCCGGGTTCACATATATGCGGTGCAGTACATTGCATGTGATTCGCACAGGAACCTCACTGCATTCCTGTGCAAATCACATGCGATTTGTGTGCGGTGCGATCGGAGACGTACGTTTTGTATGTCTCTAATCGCACCGCACCCGCACCAAAAAGGTGCAGGACCCTTTTTTGGGTCCGCACTAGAATCGGATCACATGGGTATTCACACCTATGTGATCCGATTCTGTACATCGCACCGCGTTTTGCGGACCGATTTCAGGGTGTTGTTAACTTAACATACACACCCGCAGCGGTTTGCATGAATGGCGTGCGATTCTGATGCGGTGTGGAATTCGCACAGAAAAAGCTGCGAATTCCGCATCGCATCAGTGTGAACTAGGACTTAAATAGAAATTATATTCATTCCTGTGTTGCCAGTTCACATATGTATTTTATTTATTTATTTCAGGTACTTATATAGTGCCATCAATTTACGCAGCGCTTTACATATATATTGTACATTCACATCAGTCCCTAACCCTCAAGGGGTGTACAATCTAAGGTCCCTAACTCACATTCATACATACACATACTAGGGCCAATTTACACAGGAGTGCATTCAACTACCAGCATGTCTTTGGAGTGTGGGAGGAAACCGGAGTACCCGGAGGAAACCCATGCATATATGTCCTGTAGTTTAGTGTGTTTAAAATAAATGACATGCTGGATTTTTGTGTCTTTATGCACTTTAATAAGGTACATTGACATGAATGTTAAATGCAAGAAAAATGCATGTATCTTGTAGATTTTTTTTGTGTATTTTTAATACATTTACACAATGAAAAAAGCCTGTTTCCCATGTTGAAATGTGTTTTTTTTTTATATATTACAAAATATATTAAAAGTATTTAAAAAAAAAAAAAAAAAAAAAAAAAAAATATATATATATATATATATATATATATATATATATATATATATATATATATATATATATATAATTATTTTTTTTTTTTTTTTTTTTAAATATTCTTCAGATTTGTTTTTAACATATAAAAAAGTAATTTTAACATTTTTACATAATTCCAAAAATGTAGATTAAATGTATTTTTAAAGACATACAGTATATTTGAAAATTAGTAATACTATAGTATTCGTATTTCAAATATATGTCAATATATTTGGAAAGAATAATTTTAAAATATAATTAACATTTATTTTTCTTCTTCCATGTGGGAGGTCAAATCTATTACACACAATGCAATCCTAAAATTGTTCAATTTAAAAAAAATATTTAAAAATAAAAACCTCTATGAGCACCTTAAAGTGATAATAAACACACACTGTTTATTTACATTGTCCCTTCTCTTTCTGTATGTGGATGATGACATTGTAATTATTTTAATAAAAAGAAACTTCTAAGTACCTTTTTCCTAATCGATATACAGCTGTCACATGACCCAACTCTTTCCCAGTCTGTCTGCAGGAAAACAGTGGCAGGAGGAGCTTCTAGTCCTCTGCACCTGGACACGTTAAAAAAAAAAAAAAAAAAAAAAAAAAAAGCCTTTGGGATACAGAGTAAAAATAAATAATATCAATAGACTGGTTTAGATCATCATATAAATATATATTTGAAATTAAATCTTTATTATTTTGGGGCAATAACATGGTGGATTTCTCCCAGTCACAGGCCCTGTCACGCCTCTTCAGCCTGTGTTTTAAAATAATAAGGAGGTGAAGCCTCCATCAATCAAGATGTTATATCCCACCCACATTATGTTCAGCTGGTTAGTGGGCATGCAGGAGGAGGGAAAGAGTGGACTGCCATTTAGCACTGTGTAAACGCCCATGTGTGTGACTCTAAAATCACATGCGCTGCTCAGATGTGATAGGGAGGAAATGCTCAGCATAGAAACTCATGCTTTTAGGCGATCTCTCTGAAAAACTATCTCTTCCGGGAAGCCTATCCTGCCGTCAGCTAACAATGGAATCTTCTTCTCCTTCTACCAGTCCATCCCCCACAGTTATTACCTTTTGTACCACTAGCCCCTTCCTCTTAGATTGTAAGCTCCAAGGATCAGGGCCCTCCCAACCCTCTTGTATTGAACTGTATTGTTGCTGTATTGTCTTCCTTTATATTGTAAAGTGCTGAGCAAACTGTTGGTGCTATATAAATCCTGTATTATAATAATAATAATACAATAATTTGTGGGGGAAAAAAAGGAAGTAAATCTCATTTGGGTGCAGCTATATAAATCCTTTATAATAATAAAATAATTTATGGGGGGGGGGGGGGCTGGGGGAGGACGTAAATCTCATTGGGGTGCAGCTATATGAATCCTGTATAATAATAATAAAATAATTTTGGGGGGGGGCACAAATCTCATTTTTCGGTGCAGCTATATAAATCCTGTATAATAATAATAATAAAATTTGTGGGGGGAAAAGGATGTAAATCTCATTTAGGTGCAGCTATATAAATCCTGTATAATAATAATAATAAAATAATTTGTGGGGGGGAAAAAAGAAAGTAAATCTCATTTGGGTGCAGCTATATAAATTCTTTATTACAATAAAATAATTTATGGGTGGGGAGTCGGGGGGGGGGGGACGTAAATCTCATTTGGGTGCAGCTATATAAATCCTGTATAATAATAATAATAATAAAAATTTGTAGGGGAAAGGGACGTAAATCTCATTTGGGTGCAGCTATATAAATCCTGTATAATAACAGTAAAATAATTTGGGGGGGGGGGGGTACAAATATCATTTGAGTGCAGCTGTATAAATCCTGTATTATAATAATAATAATAATAATAATAAAGTTTGTGGGGGGGAAAAGGACGTAAATCTCATTTGGGTGCAGCTATATAAATTCTTTATTACAATAAAATAATTTATGGGGGGGGGGGGCACAAATCTCATTTGGGTGCAGCTATATAAATCCTGTATAATAATAATAATAATAAAATTTGTAGGGGAAAGGGACGTAAATCTCATTTGGGTACAGCTATATAAATCCTGTATAATAACAGTAAAATAATTTGAGTCGATGGGGGGGGGGGACATAAATCTCATTTTGGGCAACTATATAAATCCTGTATAATAACAGTAAAATAAAATTTGGGGGGGGGGGGTTTGGGTGCAGCTATATAAATCCTGTATAATAATAATAATAATAATAATAATAAAATTTGTGGGGGAAAAAAAGGTCGTAAATCTCATTTGGGTGCAGCTATATAAATCCTGAATAATAATGCTTTGCTGGGTTTTTTTCCGCCCTTCTTCTGGATCAACTGTGCACATAGGATTACAACTTTTTTTTTTTTTTTTAATGGTTGAACTGGATGGACTTTTATCTTTTTTGTTTTTCAGCCAGACTAACTATGTAACTGAAAACTGAGCATGTGCAGTAGCTGCCAACACTGCTCTGCAAAATCCCCAACAGCATTGGGGACATGGACAGGAGGAGGGGGGGGAGACAAAGAACAGCAGGATCAACCAGTTTTTTTGCAGAATACAAAAAAAAATACCATAGTGACCAAGTATATAATACCCCATATATTGATTTGGGGTTTTTTTTTTTTTTACGACGTAAGTTTTTAGTGTCACTTTTAAGTTTTGTTTTATGTATACTGACTTGGTTATTTTATTTCCATTATTTATAGAGGTTCCACCAGATCGAATCAGCCCAGCTGAAGATGAATGTCTGCAACTGACAAGGAAACTCATGTTCTGTGGACTATTTTTTTTTTTTTTTTTTTTTTTTTTTTTTAATAATGCTACTGAAATAAACCGTTACCAAAGAGAAGACCACTGAACCAGGATGGAGACTTTATTAATGTTTACGCTCTGCTAGAAGAAGCGGCTTTATCCGATCCCCAGGATACAACCTCAGTAACTGAATTTGTAACTTAATATGAGCCATCACGCTCATTATCCGTCGCACAGGCACACCAAGATTCCAATGCCGTCGAAAGGCTTACATTAATGTAAATCTCTCCCCGACTTGCAGCTCGCTGCTGTATGTGCGAAAATTAATTTCAGGGATCAGAAAAATTCCTCCAGAAGGCCGAGAATACCCCGTGAAGACGAAAAATTTTTCCAGGTGGGATCTGAAGTCTAAAGCAGCCGGTTACTGGGGCCGAAGCTTGACTTTGGTTTTAGTTCAAGCTGCGTTACGTATTTCAGAAGTAATTGCCTCAATCCTGTAACATCCAGCCGGTCTCTAAATTCCAAAGGAAATTCCTCTAAACCTGTGATGGACGTGACTTCAGAGATTATTCTGCACATCCAAAAAAGCCTTCAGATTCCCTGCCTGAAGGCCTTAATGTGGACATCCAGAGCAATGTATTTCAGGACACGTCAAGCTGACAAGGTTTAACGCAGCTGTCAATATAAAGCCTGGGATTTGCAGCATTCTAAATGACTTTTAATGACACGGGGAGAAAGGGGTGTACTGTGAATTTTTTTTTTAGTGCTGAACAAGGCCAGAACCGACAAGATGGCTGTTGTGTGTATTTGGATATTTTTTTATATTTAAAATGAACAGCCATACCTACAGCCAAGAATAGTATAAAAGAGAAATATATTGTATAAAGGTGCAATTTGTATTTTTTTTGTGTGTTTTTTTTGTTTTTAGTAATAAAAAAATGTTTTTTTTGACTATATTCTGTAGACACTTTCTTTCTCTGTTCAGGGAAACCATATGAACATTATTTAACTAACTTGAACATCATTTAACTACCTCCCGACCGGCCGTTGCATATAAACGGCCGGACGGTGGCAGTGCAGGGTCGGGTGGCCGTTTATAAACGGCCTCCCCACACCCTGCTTGTGCGCGCTCCCTGGTCCGCGATCCGGTGCCTGCTGTGTCCTCCGGACACAGTGAAACACCGATCGTCGGACGGGACCTCTGTACCAGGTCCCCGATCATGTGATCACTGATTGGCCAATCAGTGATCACATGCAAAGTAGTAAGCAAGATGTCACTTGTGACATCATTGCTTACTACGTGTGAAATCTGTGAATGATCACAGAGGTCACATGGTACAAGGCTATTCACAACAGCCTTGTACCATGTGACAAGCTGTGACCAATCACAGCTCACTCAGTACTTCTCAATGAGTGCTAGAATGCACACAGAGAGAAAGAGAATTGATTGCTTTTACATCCTATATGAGTGTAAAAGCAATCAGTGTAAAATAAAAAAATAAAAAAATCTTCATCACCCCCCACAAGTAGTACAGTGTCACCATGGTGACACTGTACTGTTAGGGTGACAGTGTGTAAAAAAAAAAAATAAAAAATAAAAAATAAGAATATATAAAAAAATAAAATAAAAATGTAAAAAAAAATAGATTTTTTTTTACTAAAAAGATAACGGAATAAATGTTGGCAAAGATTTATGATGAAACATTATTTATTTGCAAAATTTTATTAAAAAAAACACTTTTTTTCAAAATTTTTGGACATTTTCATTTACATAGAAAAAAAATAAAAATCCCAGTGGTGAATAAATACCACCAAAATAAAGCTTTATCTGTCTCAAAAAAATGGTAAAAAATTCATTTGGGTACAGTGTTGCATGACCGCGCAATTGTCATTCAAAGCGTGATAGCGCTGAAAGCTGAAAATTGCCCTGGTCAGGAAGGGGGTGAAAGTGTCCGGTCTGGAAGTGGTTAACTAACTTGAACATCATTTAACCATTTCAATACCGTGCAATTTTACACCTTCCTGCCCAGGCCAGTTTTCAGGTTTCAGCGCGCTCACACTTTGAATGACAATTGCGCGGTCATACAACATTGTACCCAAACTAAAATGTTATCATTTTCTTCACACAACTAGAGCTTTCTTTTGGTGGTATTTAATCACTGCTGGGGTTTTTTATTTTTTGCTAAATTAACTAAAAAAGACTGAAAATTTTGAAAAAAAAACACGTTTTTCTTTGTTTCTGTTATAAAAGTTTGTAAATAAATAATTGTTCTTCATACATTTAGGCCGAGATGTATTCTGCTACATGTCTTTGGTGAAAATAACCCAAATTAGGATGTATTTGTTAGTTTGTAGGAAAGTTATAGAGTTCACAAACTATGGTATAGATCTGAATATTGATCAATCCTGAAGTACTGACGGCCAATATAATATCTTGAGGTCCAAGAATGTCAGAACAGTACAGATATCCCCCAAATGAGCCCTTTTTGCAGAGTAGACAGTCCGACGTATTTCATAAGAGGCATGGCGCGTTTTTTGAAGTTGTATTTTTTTTTGTCATTTTTCGGAAAATTAAAAAATTAAAAAAATTATTTTCACTATTTTTTTTTTACATACTGTCACCAGTGCAGTACAGCGTCATCATATAACTGGCATGGCGGTGATCAGGGACACGGACTGGTGACAGTATGAAAAAAAATATATATATATTTTTAATTTGTTTTACATTTTTTTTAAAAAAAAATTTCAGATTTTTTTTTCATATTTTACTATGACCAAAGTACTACAATGTTACCATAGTAACATTGTACTACTTTGGGGAGGTGATCAGTATTTTTTATTTTTTTTTACACAATTTGCTTATAGCAAAGAATTACTTTGCTATAAGCAAGCATTTACCAGAATGAAATCGATTCATTCAGGGTTTTTTTTATTTTTTTTGTGCCTAGCTGTGATTTGGCCACAGCTAATCACATGACATGTGCATGTGACCTGCTGTGACCATTCACAGCTAGGCACTAGTATACAATGGATGGCATGAATGAAGCCATCCATTGTATACAACTGTCATGTGACCTGCTGTGATTGGTCACAGAAGGTCACATGGTACCGGCAACGGGGGCCGGTACTCGGGTCTGTCATCGGCCGTGTCCGAGGTACATGGCCGGTAACAGATCATGCCGCTGCGCGGCTCTGCAACCGTGCGAACTGCGCATGTGCGGGAGCACACCAAATGGCGTGCACCCGGAAAGGTGGAGCATTTTTGGCGCCGCCAAACGGCTATAGGCCGGGCAGCTAATGGTTAACTACTTTGGGTCCAATTCTGGCATTCCTTTCCTACGTGTATTATTTATTTTTTATTATTATTATTATTATTATTATACAGGATTTATATGGCGTCAACAGTTTGCTCAGCGCTTTACAATATAACGGGAGACAATACAGCAACAATACAGTTCAATACAAGAGGGAAAGGTACTTATGTATCGCTGTCAATTTACGCAGCGTTTTACATATACAGTGAAGGAAATAAGTATTTGATCCCCTGCTGATTTTGAATGTTTGCCCACTCACAAAGAAATGATTGGTCTAAAAATCGAATGTTACGTGTATTGTAACACTGAGAGACAGAATAGCAATTCAGAAGAAATGCATGTCTAACAAGTGATGCAATGATTTGCATGTTCATGAGGGAAATAAGTATCTGATCCCCTTCACAAAACATGACTTAGTACTTGGTGGCAAATCCCTTGTTGGCAATCACAGAAGTCAGACTTTTCCTGGAGTTGGCCTCCAGGTTTGCACACATCTCAGGAGGGATTTTGGCCCACTCCTCTTGGCAGGTCCTCTCCAAGTCATTAAGGTTCGGTTACTAACGTTTGGCAACTCGAACTTTCAGCTCCTCCACAGATTTTCAATCGGATTAAGGTCTGGAGACTGGCTAGGCCACTCTAGGACCTTAATGTACTTCTTCTTGAGCCACTCCTTTGTTGCCTTGGCTGTGCGTTTTGGGTCATTGTCATGCTGGAACACCTATCCATGACCCATTTTCAATGCCCTGGCTGAGAGAAGAAGGTTCTCACCCAAGATTTGATGGTACATTGCACCGTCCATCGTCCCTTTGATGCGGTGCAGTTGTCCTGTCCCCTTAGCAGAAACACATCCTCCAAAGCAGAATGTTTCCACCACCATGTTTCACAGTTGGGATGGTGTTCTTGGGGTTATAGGCAGCATTCCTCCTTCTCCAAGCACGGCGAGTTGAGTTGATGCCAAAGAACTCGATTTTGGTGTCATCTGACCAGAACACTTTCCACCAGTCCTCCTCTGCAGCATTCAGATGTTCAGTGGCAAACTTCAGACGGGCCTGGACATGTGCTTTCTTGAGCAGAGGGACCTTGTGGGCACTGCAGGATTTCAATCCTTGTCGGCGTAGTGTGTTACCAATTGTTTTCTTAGTGACTGTGGTCCCAGCTGCCTGGAGATCATTGACAAGATCCTCCCGTGTAGTTCTGGAATGATTCCTCACTGTTCTCATGATCATTGACACTCCACAAGGTGAGATCTTGCATGGTGCACCAGACCTAGGAAGACTGACAGTTGTTTTGTGTTTCTTCCATTTGCGAATGATTGCACCAACTGTTGTCACCTTCTCACCAAGCTGCTTGGCGATAGTTTGGTAGCCCAGTCCAGCCTTGTGCAGGTCTACAATCTTGTCCCTGACATCCTTGGACAGCTCTTTGGTCTTTGACATGGTGGAGGGTGCAAAATCTGGTGCAGCTCTGCATAGAAACCAGTCAGCTTCCAGGTTTTATTGCCAAAGCTTCATTGAACAAGCTGAAGTTAGAAGCTGATTGGTTGCCATGCACAGCTTCACCAGATTCTGAGTGCTTCAGTTTTAGTAAATCGCCCCCCTATGTGTAGCACTTTGATGATGTGAAATTATTTTGTGGCAATTTCTTGATTTAAAAAAAAAAAAAAAACATCTG